GCTCTCACAGTGACACGATCACAGGGGCGAGCACTCTGTCCTTGGAACACAAATTAAATCCAGACGTTAGCTCTCTCTCTGAGTCTCCACCGAGTCTGCTCCTGTCACTGTGGCAAACACAGCTGGTGGAGTATTTTCGCTGTGATGATGTCAGCCTGTTTCTGATAGGCTTCTAGCTAGAGGGACAAATCACTGGTTGTGCGAGGGCCCTGCACTTGGTGTCTACAACAGCCCTCACCGTTCTTTGCAGAAGCCCTTCCCAGCATGCAGCCCAGCCACACAGGGGCCGTCCTGACAGACCTGCGAACAGGCTGTGACAAATATTCCACCTTCTAATTTGCACCTTGGCTGTCAGCAAAGAGACGAGTGGTCTGGCTACGGGAAGGAAATGAGACTTGGCCTGGAAGCCAATTTCTCTACCGTTTAAGCGTTCATTCTGCAAAGTATCAAGCAGGGAAAACACAGAGATGCTTGTGTCCTCCCCAAGGCCTGCCAAGTCCATTTGAAACCTGTGAGCTCTGGTGTGAGAGGCTGCCAGGGCCTTGGAGATGCAGCCCACGGCTGGAGCTGCTCTTTATTCTCAAGTTGAAAGAGATGCTGGTAAGGAATCAGTAGCGTTTCATAAATCACACCTCTTTCCATTCCTACCTCTGTGCACCCTAACGCTTTAAGGATTGAAAAAAAGTACCATGAAAAACACATTTATTTTTCATTCTTGTTTATTTTCTACGCTTCACCTGGGGGCTGTTAAAGGCCAGCTTTGCTAAAGAGAATTCCTTTTTTTCCTGCTAGGACCCACCTCAATTCATGGAGGAAGGTCACAGGGAGCAGCAGTTACAGATGGGCAGTGAGTTCTAAATAATGATGCCGTTTAAAAAAACCTTGACTTTTGCCCTTTCTTTGAATTGTAACTTTGGGAAATCTTTTGTGGGCCTCACCAAAGAGTCTAAGTCTAAGTGGCATTGCACCATGAAAAAGGAAAGTATTTGGGGCTAAAAGCTCTTGGCAAGGCAAGTCCCTTGACGTTGTGCAAGATCCCACATCCGGTCACTCACAGGCAGTTCCGGAAAACACTTTGGAAAACTGGCCTCCCCCCGCCTCACTTGATCTTTTAAATATATACTTAAAACAATTCAAACCATTATCTAGTTTGTCTTGTTTTGTTTGTTTTACTTTCTGTGAACATCCCAACTATCAGCTAAGCGTTGACCTTTTTCCAATTCAAACCTGAAGGAGGCGCTGTCACATCCAAGAGTTTCAAAGTCCCTGAGAAACATTCCCAGAGAGTGGGCTCGACCGCCAGGAACGTTCCTGCGAGGCCTAAGCTGTGCGACTCCAGCAGCCGGGGCAGTGTAGCTGCTGTTTCATATAATGGGCTGTGGAATCCAAGAGACGTGAGAGACGAAAAGGGTGGACTGAAGGAGCCCAGGGACATTATAAGAGAGTTAATCGTAGTTCTAGCTTTTAACATGAGTCAGCTTGGCTGCCTATGACCCCTGGGGCTCCTATTTACCACAAGCCCAAGAGAGCGCCTGGGACAGCCCTGACTTCTCCGTGTGTATGAACCACGCCTTTTATTTTCTGTGTTCTGCTGCTCTGACATCTGGGGGCCTTGCTAACTCTGGAGGGACTGTCCCTCTCAGAATCAGTTAATTCCTAGAGATGGCCACCAACTCCACGGGGCACGTGCCTTTCATTTGCAAACCACCCACCCACACCCTCAGCCACCTCCTCGACCAGGTTCACACTCCAGGCCACTGCCCACCTGCCCGAGTCACACCACAGCAGGTACCCAACAACCGGGAGGGGGGGGGCGTCCACTGAAATTACGCAAACTAGCCAATCCTAAACAGGCTCACCCCGTCTCACCCATTTCCCCCCATGGAAACCACAATAAGGGTTCCTGCCCCCTTTCTCCCCGCTCCCTCTCCTCCTGACTGACCCTCGTGCTTCCCTGCGTTGCCCCACATGGCATGTCGCCTGCCTCTTGGGATCTATGAGTGTGAGAAAACTGTTTTCACTGGCCGTTGTCCCCTCATCGGTCGGCCCTGTCACGACTGAACAGTAATAAAACCTGCATTTTAAACACAGATGTTGGTATGGGAGGTGTGACTCTGGGCATCTAACGCCCTTACCGGACCAGCAATGTCTTTTCCTGGGGAATAAAGGGCCTCAAACCCGCAGCCTCTCTCAGTCAGGTTCCCAGCTGAACCACAGAAAAAAAGCATAACCGAGTGGCGATTTTCTTAAATTGTCCTGAGGACGGGACCTGACTAGCCTCACTCTAGATGCAGAATTAGTTAGTTCACTACAAACAGCAGATGTCTTGGGGCTTAATTCTCTTAAGAATCTCCTTAGAGAAGATTCGGAGCCTGAAGTCTAGGCATAAATGAAAACCTTGTGTTTTCCCCACAGTGCGGGCGAGTCTGGGCCCTGGAAGAAGTTCATCTTGCCAGGAAATGAGGAAGGCGGTGGGGCGACCCCGCCTGTGACCTGGGCGAACATTACCTGTGCCCGGTGCTCCCCGACGGCGAACTGGATCACAGCGACGCCGGGGCTGTGGCTGTCCTCAATCCTCTCCACGGTGCTGGAGTCGATCTTCAGGTCGCTGCTGATCTCGGCGCTCTGGATGAAGTCTTCCGTTTTCAAGTCCTCCACCTTTTTCAGCTCCCCGTTGGCCAACTGGATGATGGAGCCTTTCATGAAGTAGGGGGGCAGCGTCGGGGGAGCTGCCGCCGGGGACGCCACGGACTGCACCAGCGGCAGGTGGATCTGGGCCTGCACCATGGCCGGGTAGGCGGCCTGGCTGACCAGGGCCTCTGGGCTGAAGTTCTCGCTCTTGGGAAGGGCGGTGGTGACGAACGAGTGAGGCACTGCTGCAAACTGGGGCGACGACGTGACTATCGCGGAGGCTGCTCCGGATCCCTCTACGTCAGCACTGCCAACCGGGATGAGCAGGGGCTGGGTGCCGGGGATGACCAGGTGCTGGGGCAGGCCGCCGGCGTATGTGATCGCCTGCTGCTGGCCGCTCAGGTAGCCGATGACAGGCGGCTGGGTCCCTGCGTAGAAGGCTGTGGCTGGCAGTCCCACTGGGAGTGGCTCCGAAGCGCTGTGTGTGGTCTGAATGACCGTGTGGGGTGACAGCGTGGCCACGGCGGCGGCCTTCACGCCTTCGGGGCCCAGAGCCTGTTGGGGTGAGAGCGCGTAGGGCCGATGCCCGGGCTTCCCCAAGTGCAGGCCACTTTTGTCGTTGAGGGTCGAGGGGGAGGCCTCGCGGTGCGTGACCGGCTGCACTTCCAGGTCGGGCACGGGGGTGTTGCTGTTGGGCAGGACCATCACAGAGGCCCGCACCCCTGCGGAGTCCCGACTGCCGTAATCGGAGGGGCTGGGGTGCACCACCACGTGCCTGGACTCGTAGGGGTGAGGCGCCGACTTGCTGCCGGCCTTCGCCAGGCCCAGGTCGGCCGAGGCGGGGGCCCCGTACCTCCGGCCCTTCTCCATCTCCCCGTTGAGCATCTCCTTGGCCTGCATGGCCTGCTGCAGCCTGCTGCTCTCGGCTTTCTTGGTGGCCTCCCGAGCGACAAAGTGGCCGCCAGAGTCGGTGTATTGCACTACGACCTGGGGGGAGGGCCCCAGGGTGATCGTGTGTGGGATCATCGTCGGGTGGGGGTGGAGGTGGACAGGGACGGCCGGGGGAGAGGCCGAGCGCCCTGCGTTCTGCGGAGAGCCGGCAATGTGGACGTACTGGTTCTGCTGGGTGGGTGGCGGGGACCCTGGCGCGATGAGCCCGGGCGTCCTGCCTAAGTGCTGCTGCTGCTCAGCCTTGTGGGCCGAGGCCTGGCTCAGGCTGCCCATGCTGGCCAGCAGAGTGGAATAGGCCTCCAGCTGGGACCGCTGGGACGGAGTGGCGGCCCCCACGGCAGAGGCCACCGCACTGGTGACGGGGCTGGCCGTTGGGGAGATCAGCTGTGAAGGGATGAATCCCGTGTAGGGCCCGCTGTACTGGGAGGACCCGATAAACTGGAAAGTGTGCGGCAGGTGAGCATACTGCACGGGCGACACCGGAGTCCCTGACTGCGGCGGGGGGTACGCCGTGGGGAGCGTGCTGCTCGCGGGGACAGACCTGGGCGCGCTGGGTGGGGAGTAGTCCAGCCCCGTGGACAGCGCTTTGTGTAAACCTAACCCCTGTTGTAAACCAAGCTCCACCGAAGTCCCCGCGGGGCCGTGCCTCCCACCCCCGTGACCTCGGCCACCAGGGTTGCCCGGGAGCCATGCCACGCCCTCCGCCCGGTGGTTGTCGCTGGGCAGGGCGACGGCCTTCTCCTCCGACGGCCGGCTGGTGGCGGGGATCTCGCGCTTCTTGGGAGGCAGGCATTCGTTGCTCCGCTCTTGGTTGGATTTCATTTTTCGCCGTCCCCCCTCCACGGTGACTGTTTCACTGTCTGGCTGGCTCTGATTTTAGTCTGATAAACGGAAAGTCACATTTGATTTCTGTAGGGGATCCAGGCTCTTCATGAGGAATCATCTCCCCGTGGGTGCGGTCGGCCAGCGGCAGCTCTGGAATCTGGG